ATATTTCGGACTCTTTCGCGGAAACTAGCAAGAGCGTTCAAATATGGCATTAACGTCGTCTCCATATCAACATCAGATTCGCTAAAAAAATGCGATTTAAGAAAGCTGGGACGTTTAACACTCTCCTGTTCGGGTAAGTGTCCTCGTTCTGCTCGTAATCCAGTCAGACGCAAGCGGAAGATCTATTTTGATAAAATCTCGAGAGTTAAAAGCTATTGAGAGCCCAGACTGGAGAGGTAGGGCGCCGACACTTGCATCATCGGCGCGGGCACTTGCATATGACCGGATTACGACATTTATGGAACTACTTATCCGAAGCAGGAAGTTGATACATGGTGCCCTTGATGTGGAAGACAAACAAATCGAAAGTAAAATTTTTTATCAAAAAGTGAGGTAAATATGGTGGATGTCCTTGTTTGAAATAGGAAATGCGGGCACTGTTTCTCACCTTTCCATTGGGAATCCTATGTCACCAAGTTCAGAGATGACCCCAAGTACTGCGAACAGATCCTTACTATACGATGCAATCGTTTGTAGAAGCAAGCAATTGGGCACGGCATCCCCTTTTCCTGTAAAGATAAGATATATGCTATGCGGAAAAGCAAGGGTATGATAACATAATAAACCTAACCTTTTCAACAATATAAGAGTTTCCTATACCTATAAGCTCGCGAAGCTTCTCTATCGTTGTTCGCGTGTCCACTGAATCACTTAACGCGGCATGAATCTGCAACGTGAAAATGCTCGGGAAGAGTTCGTAGAGGATTACAACAAATAAGAAGGACACACCTCTCGTCTAATTCTAGAAAATTCCTCCATTATTTCGAGTTCACGAGCTTTGTATTTGAGATATCCCTAGAAACTGCGCTATCAATGAGCACAACGTTTCGCGACAACACTAAAACAAAGAAAAAGTTATTGTATAAAATCGAAACATAAAGAAACGTACTTGAGGACAATCTGGCTTATAACGCCTCCTAAGGATATCCTTCACAAGCAAGAAAAACTCGTTAGAGATCTTTTCAAACTGCATG